TTGATGGTGCTGAAAGCTAAGTTGTCGTTTATATAGAATTGTTGTCTGATTTCATGAGAATGAACGGTGTTTTTGGAAGTTGGAGCAACATTTTAAGTTTAAATTTTTTAAGACTAAGAGCAGGTTTTACAGTAGTTTGGAAATGAAGCTGGATTGTGGGGAAGAAATTTGTAGATTTCAGAAAGATGGATGAAGTATTCATTGATGGTCAATAACTTCCATCTTTGATAAATCCTGAGATAGTAGTAATCCTGTTTTGCTAACTTCAATGACTTTTAGGTTAACAAATTGTTTGATTTGCAGCATTTTAGGAAACAACAAAGGTATCTTTTCCTACGAAAGAAAAGGAAAATTCAGTGAAGGAATAAGATATATAAATAAAGAAAAAGGATAAATAATTTTTCGAAATAATCTTGATTAAGACTTCATAACAAACTGCCTTATAATCCTAAATGATTTTCTAAACAAGCCTCGAACAGTAGTCTCTAGCATCCGATTGAACTTTTAACCGCTTATCTTTTGGAATCTTCACAGTTTTCCTAGTTTTTAGACTCCATTTCTGAGATGCTTAGTGCTAAACCAATGGCAATGAAAATATTTCCTGCCACAATCATTGATATATTGGTTTCTATTTGATTGTAAATATTTTGGTCATGTAGTGTTTTTGAAGCAGAGACACCTCGAATCAAATTTTCGTTTATAAGAGTGATGAGTTTGTTTCACTCATGATTTTTGCACAATTTTAGCTTGATTAAATGTTAGATCTTGTGAGTATAGAACGTTTTGATGTGTTTGTTAGTGTTGTTTTGAAGATTAGGAGAGGCAATGTGAAAAGAGGTATTAAAGTGAACAAAGAGGCCAAAAACACGGAATTGAGGCAGAAAGACGGCGCTTAGGTGCTACGAAACTGAAAAAAAAAGATCAAATTTGGACCCGAAAGACAGCGCCTAGGCATCGCAACCATAGCGCATAGGCACTACCATTAGCGCCTAGGCGCTGGGTGCTATCATCAGCGCTTAGACACTGTCTCGTAGCGCCTAGGCGCTGCGATTGAAGATCTAGGGAGCGTTTTTTTGGGCCCTTTTAAATCCATAAAAATCATACTACTACATAAAATGGAGGGGCAGCTATAAATACGTCTTTCTCATACTTTTGAAGGGTTCTTGACATATTGGAGACAAGACAACAAAAAGGGAGATTCAAAAGAGAAATTCAAGAAAATTAACACCAAACAATTGAAGATTAGAAGTATTCATTGGAAGAGGAAGGAGATCTTAGTGCAAAAATTCTACTTTTTCTTCGACATCTTTATTACAAACTCGGTGATGTATTCTAAGACAATTTCCTACTTTTCTTCTTGCATTATGAGTAGCTAAATTCATTGTTAGGGGGAATAATGTAACCAATTGGGATTTTTAACATTCTCTTATTAAGACTTTCAGTTTTTAATTTTTCCATGAGTTGATTTTGCTATGAGTTGAAGCATTAAATTATCTGATCAACAATTTGATGATTTTTATGAATTCTTTACAAATAGAGATATGAGTTTAGGATTTAGACCATGTAGTAAAATTCAGTACATTGGTATAATGAGTAGAGATACATATACCATTTATTGCGGTCATAATTGAATTCTTAGAATATAGAACTCATTTAACTAAGTTGAATTTGTATAGAAATATGAAATTTAATTAGTTGAATAAGTTCAATGAGAACTTGAGAGGGGTAAATTGAATACAATAGGAGAATTCGACCGAACACTACATCAGAATTGAGTTTTAACTTGAGATGTAAAGGTGATCAATTGGTGAAGTTATTCTATCCTAACATCCATTCATTATTTGATTCTCCAACCAATCGTGTGGAACATTTATTTATTTTCTAAAATTTAGATTAAAACCCAAATTTTACAACCTTTAATTTGTTTTAGTCAAATAGTAGTTAAAGAAAAATTAAATTAAATGCCAGAAAATAGTCCTTGTGGGATCGACAATCCGGACTCTTAGATCCACTATTACTTGTTATGGATCGTACACTTGCGAAACAAAATTTCACCATTTTCCACCAAATTTCACCAAAAACACCACTTTACCCTAACACCAAATTTTGGACCATTTTTGCACCAAACGTGATAAAAGTTCATTGCTTGTCATAGACAAATCAATGATAAAGATGCTCACCTCGCACTTCGAAATGCATTAATCGAACATTTGTGGGATGAATATATAAATTCCTATAATTAAATTCGCCGTACCATAATTTCGGGATTCGAAATATACTCCATTGTTTTCAATAACATGATTTCATAATTTATTTTTGTGGTATTTTTATTAATTGTAGTACATTTTAAAAATATATTAAATAATTATATATTTTCGTAAATGAAACGTAATTATGTATGTAGTAATTTATGTAATAGTAAATTGAATAAATAAATATTTTTTTAGCTATATAAATTGTTAAAAATAAAAGAAATGAAGAAAATGACTAAATACTGTTCATTTGGTACAACTTTTGGTGTAATGTGTTTGAGATATTTTTAGTTTGACGCAAAATTTGGTGCAAAATGGTGTAGATTTTGGTGCAGGGTTGGAAATGGTCTAAGGTAACACTAGCCAATTGACTCATCTAATGATCTTTGGGTTAATTATATGAATGGTCACTAAATTTTGCCCTATGTTACTATTTAGTCACTGAACTTAAAAATGTAACTCAATGGTCATTGAACTTTGTCAAATGTTACTACTTCATAACCGAACTTTAAAATGTATCTTAATGGTTACCGAACTTTGCACCGTGTTACCCATCCGTCACTAAAATGGAGAAATTCATTAAGTCCAACAAACGGCGTCAACTCAAGTGACGGATGGGTAACACGGTACAAAGTTCAGTGACCATCGGAATACATTTTAAAGTTCAGTTATGATGTAGTAACACTTGGCGAAGTTCAGTGACCATTGAGTTACATTTTTAAGTTCAGTGACTAAATAGTAACATAGTTGAAAAATTAAATCGACCTCAATTACATTGGCACTATTTGAACATTTTTGTACTTTTATTTTATTTTTCTTTGTCAATTTCTTTTAATGTTCCAACTGTTTCTCTTTCATTCTATTATGCGGAGTTTGAAATACGGTGAACTGATACCAGTTGATCTAAAAATCAAACATAATTTTTCACTATGATGGATGGATATTAGTAACAATTCTATTTTTATTTAATTTATAGGTCTCTGATTTTCTGTTTATTTAATTTATAGGTCTCTGATTTTCTGTTTCCTCTTTTTTCCCTTCATTTTCTTTGATTTCTTCTTTCATAGAGGTCGATTTGAAAAGTTTAGCCTTTGTTTGATCCCCATTTTGAGGGATAAAATGAATTTTTGAACAGTATATTGACGGAAAATGTGCAATTAAAAAATAAGGAAAATTTTTAGATTTGCGTGTAATATTATTTTATTGAATAATGTATAGTTGAATGATATCAAATCACTGTTTAAAAATATATTTTTTTTTTGGAAAAGAATGTGAATCAAACAAGAGCTTAATAATTCAATTTAAACATATATCTTAATGGTCACTGGATTTTGCCCTATGTTACTACTTAGTCACTGAACTTAAAAAATGTAACTTAATGGTCACTGAACTTTGTCAAGTGTTACTATTTCATAACCGAATTTTAAAATGTATCTTAATAGTCATCGAACTTTGCACCGTGTTATCCATCCGTCACTCAAGTTGACGTCGTTTGTTGGATTTAACAAATTTTTCTATTTGAGTGATGGATGGGTAACACGATGCAAAGTTTGTTGACCATTGAGATATATTTTAAAGTTTAGTTATGAAGTAGTAACGCTTGACGAAGTTCAGTGACCATTGAATTATATTTTTAAGTTCAGTGACTACGTAGTAACATAGAACAAAATTCAGTGACCATTTATATAATTAACCCAATGATCTTTATCCTACCATGAATTAAGAGACCAAATCCTAAAGAAATGTCTTTGCATTCTCATCTTCACCGAGTCTCTAGGAGAGCTTGGAAGAATCGAAATCTTAACTATTGGTCTCATATTCTGTTGCATCTAATAAAGTAAATGTATTTTCCCAGCACTGACAAGACAAGCCATCCATATCATGGCATCACCAAGTGTTTGATTGCATTTACACAATTTTTTGTAAGAAAATGTCCGAAGAACTCTAATTTACCAAAAAAGTTGTAGACTATTAATAAACTCAAAAACATCTGTTTTTCCTATTAGGACATAAAAACTGATAACATTACTAAATAATTGGCTGTTGCAAAGACCCTGAAAATTACAGAAAATCTAGAATTACCATAAAGGGTCTGGCTTAAAATTCGATATAAGAGAATAGGATAAAGCTAAACATTGAAGATACTAAGATGGTTGAATGAGAAGGTGTGTATTTTTTTTTTTCAGAAGAAAAATCTTATATTTTCTTTCCCTTGAGCATTTTATTATGTGGATCACATCTCTCAAAAAGTATTTTATTCTAAAGGTTCTTATCTATTCTGGTAATGAATTTTATATTCCACGAGGACAACGTGCTTGCCTTTTGGAGTATTATTTCATTTCTCTGCTCTTTTTTACTTTTTTATTCAATTTCTCTTTTACATAATGTTTCTGTTATTGTTGTTTATCGACTCTCAGGAAATATTTATACGAAGATCCTTGGCGATTTATCATTGTCTATTTCAGTACGTCGTAGGGTTAATAATCCCAAAAGTCATTGAACTTTGTCAAGTGCCACCTAAGAGGTCATTGAACTTCAAAAGCTTTCTGAGAGGTCACTGAACTTTGCCAAATACTACCTGAGAGGTCACTAAACTTCAAAAGCTTCCTAGTAGGTCACTGAACTTTGCAAAAACTTCCTGAGAGGTCACTGAACTTTGCAAAAATTTCCTAAGAGGTCACTCAACTCAGTGATGTATGGGGTTACTTTTTGTAAAGTTCAGTGACCTCTCAGGAACTTTTTGCAAAGTTCAGTGACCTCCCGGGAAACTCTTGAAGTTCGGTGACCTCTCAGGTAATATTTGGCAAAGTTCAGTGGCCTCCTAAGAAACATTTGAAGTTCGATGACCTCCCAAGTTCCATTTCGCAAAGTTCAGTGACTATCGGGGTAATTAACCCCTCGAAATCCCATAAAGAAGATCCTACTTCGGATAATGAGGAAATCTAAGCCTGCAGAAAGGAACAATATAGTGCAGCCACAACTAGTTTACTCATTTTGGCGATCATTATGACTTCAGAAAGGAGCTTAAAATATTGAACCTTCTTACTGGGTATCTAGTGTTCTCACTATTTTTCTTCTCTATTCTTAAAATTTATTCAACATTCCACCATGATTGGCCAGATCAAGTTAATTGGAGCATAACAAGCATTGATGATCTGCAGGTATATTTATTTGATCGACAAACTTGATAGAATTCGGTAGCAAGGTTCTGGATTTGCAACACCAGATGAGTTGTCATCGCTTCTATCCTGTACTTCATTTCTGTTGGAAGTGAAATAAGGAATAAAAATATTGCTTTGCATGAGCATAATCAAAGATTGAGCAGAATAAACTTGTGTGATTACCGTCTGGTAATTACCATGTTTCCAATCCTGTTTTGAGCTTTAGTATCATTCATCAGTGTCTCGACTTCCAGAAGGGACGATGGAACTGCTTTTGCAGGTCTCCGCTCAATGGAATTTTACATTTAGTTTGGTATCTTTGCAATGGAGTAGATTCTCTTATGAAACACGATCAATTTCTTCTTTAGTTTTTTACTTACCCTGGTATGTCATAAAGGGAAATTAATGTCACAAATTTCTTGTTGGAACACGTGCTCACTGCATTATCATTGGTTAATAAACGATTAAGTTTCAGAATATCACTTGCCTACCTAACGTTTTACGTTCTTCTCATGATTAAAGATTCAGCAACTTGGTCAGAATCCTGTTTTGCCTCTTAACCCGTATATCATTGACATTACTTCCCTTTTTTGATCGTCTTGCCACTATGATTTTCCATTGTTTTATTGTTTTGGCATATTATTTTGGTGTACATATTTGCTGACAGGCAGATCAAATCAGCCATTCCCATTCCACACATCTGAATTTTACTTATTGACACCGGAATTTGCACTGTAATTGGCTGTCTGGTGGTTTTTGGCATTTGCATTTGTGGATTAAACTTACCCAGTATGTGTTGGCATTTTTGTTGAGGAATGGTGGTTATGTCCATTGATGCCACATCTCCACGGACTGGGGAAATAGTAATGAAATTCGCATTCTTTTTCGTATCCTTGCCCGTGGAGCTTGGGATTTTCGCTTTCCTGCTTGCTTAGTACATGTTTAGTTGGTGCTCAAATTATAAATGTATGATAATTATGGGTGCTACAAAATTTGTGGATAAAAAGCACGTGTGACTAGAAGTGATTATGAATCACCAACAGACAATGCACAGTATACGCGAGTCGCACATGTATTTGATGTTAGACGTTGTCGTTATCAAGCTTCTAAGCCAATGGATTGTAGGCCTTACTGCCTCCCTTGAACTATAACTTTCTTCCAATGAGCCAAACATAATTCTGTCTGCACTACTTGTAATATGATTGCCTCATCAACTAGTGCATGTCATCATTATGGTATTATAAGAAAACTTAAATATGGGCCCATGATTTGCCCATCCCTGGGCACATCACATGTGAGAAGAAGAAAGTGACTCTCTCAAAGGTTAGGTTTTGCTTGACTATGATGATGCAGTAGCAGCCAAGTGCGAGAAATGAGCAGGCCCCTGTGTGACATTCATTTAATTGTCGGGTACAATGCCTAGTTGCCTACTTGTCTGGTGAATAACCTTTCACCAGAAATTCCATATTTTCAAAGAAGCTGCTTTCCTGGTTCCTTCAATGTGTATTTATTCAGTGTGTCAAAGACAATGTTAAATAATGAAGTGTGATCCCGTAAGGCGTGACTAGGCCAAACAGGAACTATGACCGACGTTGTTAGCTGAATAATTGAATAGTCAGAGTTGTGAATGGTACACAAGCGTTACTTAGGTAGGTTTTGACTTGACTGATATAAATTAGCAATTTTATAAACAAAACGACGTCGTAATTTAAGATGGTAAGCTTCCCATGTATGTCTTGCTTGAACCTTGTTATTGCCTATGTTTTGATAGGACGGTTCTATATGTATATGTAATATGTCGACTATTTAGATCACGACATCTCGAATTTCGAACCATTCAAATAATGACATATCGGCATTTGAGATTCACTTTGTTTCTTTCTTACTACTTCGGATGCCGAGGTGTTACGGTTTAAAATTATCAATCCTACCAATAACATATATGATCATTTCATTGAATTTTTTTCTCCTTTGAAGCCAATGTTTAAGGCAGTATTACAAATTTTAGAAGAAACGAAAATATGTGGGGGTTAATATGGAAGCTTAAGTTTTATGCTACAAGTGTCATTAATCTGTTAAATCTCCAAGTAATCTTAGACTTTGATTGGGTTATAATTTAATCATAGTCATCTTATCTTAATTTCCTTTAAATTGCCAGAAAATTCTACATGTGCAATAATTATTGAACATAATGGTGTCTATAATGTGATGTGACAATCATCCAGTTGTAGATTTATAAGTGTCAGATTTGAGGTAGAGTTGTTATAACTTATACAAGGAATAGATACTCCTTTTTTTCTTTTTTTTTGTTCGTCCACCACAATATAATTCACCATCTCCTTCTACACCCTTTTTCTATGTTAGGAATTAGACTGTTACTATTTTCGCCAGGATTAGTGGGACGAAAAATAATTTGAACTGAGAAGAAATAAATGTAGCATTCAGGTTAATCGCAAAATAATTCCCACTTAATCGCATCTTCTCCCTGACATTCCTCATCATAGCATTCAGGTTCACCGGCATCAGTAAGTAACAAATAATTTATGTACTTTCTGTTTGGAACATGTGGTCAGGAAGATCTTCTAGGAATAGGAGTTGGAGACTTTGGCAAAGTCTCCGCAACAGCTTCATCTGGCTGGTGACTCTCATCTGTCTGCTTTGACATACTACTGCTTGGAGTATCATTCAACTCAACAAATGTTGGATTATCATGTATGTCACTGGACTGCACTGTATCTCTGTCCTTGTACATCACCCTTTCATTGAATATGACATCCCGACTTCTGATGACCTTTTTGTTCTTATCATCCCAAAAGTGATACCTGAATTCATCTCCACCATATCCAATGAAGGTAAACTTTAGTGATTTGGGGTCAAGCTTACCCCTGGTTTGATCACTAATATGTACATATGAGACACAGCCAAAAACTTTCAAATGAGAAAGTTTTATTTCTTTTCTGCTCCATACTTCAAAGGCACTGATGGCCCGCGATTGATTAAGTATGTTATCATGTTGATAGCTTCAGACCAAAATTGTTTAGGCAAACCAGCATGTAACCGCATGCTTCTAGCTCTCTCTTTCAACGTTCGGTCCATTCGTTCAGCCACACCATTTTGTTACGATGTTCCTGGCAACGTCCTTTCCATTTTGATACCATTCTGGGAACAAAACCTTTTGAAATCAGCATGTTCGTATTCTCCGCCATTATCTGATCTCAATTTGTTTACTCGCAAGCCTATTTCATTCTCCACCATAGCTTTCCACTTCTTAAACATCTCGAACAATTCGGATCTATGTCTCAAGAAATAAACCCATACTTTTCTGGAGTGATCATCAATGAAAGTCACAAAATAAGACTTTCCACCAATAGATGGAACTGCAGCTGGTCCCCAGACATCCGTGTGGACTAACTCTAGCTTTTCTTGCTTTGGAGTTCTGACACACTTGTTGAAACTCACCCTCTTCTGCTTCCCGAAGATGCAACTCTCACATAGACCTGCATCAATAAATTGAAGTCCTGGTAGTTTTCCTTTATCATGCATGCACTTGAGTCCTTTTTGACTTATATGCCCCAGTCTCTGGTGCCATAGATTCAGATCTACATTCGAATCAGCAACAACAATTATTTCGCAAGCACTCTTCGTTGTGTAAAAAGTACCACTTTTCTTGCCTCGTGCTATGGTCATTGCACCTCTGGAAACTTTCCAAATATCACGTTTGAAGGTTGTGACATAACCCTCATTTGATAGTTGGCCCACAGATATCAAGTTCTTCCTTAAGTCTGGAATGTGTCTGACATCTTTCAATTTCCATACAGATCCATTAAGCTTGATCTGTACTTCACCTTTGCCGACTACATCACAAGGTTGATCATCACCAAGATATACTTTTTCAAGATTGCCTGGCTCATAACTCGTAAGGGTTCTCTGTTTGAGGTAGCATGAAAAGATGCTCCAAAATCTATTACTCAGTATTCTGCTTTGCTTTCCAAAGAGCATATCAAAGCATCATCTGATTCCTCTGCTACAACATTGGCCTCAGTCTTGTTTTCATTTTCTTTCTTGAAAACTTGACATTGATTTTTGTAGTGTCCAATCTTGCCACAATTTTAACATTTAACAACTTTTGATTTGTTGGAATTTTTTGGATTTCTGATTGCTCCTGTTATGCCCTTTACTTCTGTTTGAACTTCTGCCTCTACTCTCCACGTTCAAAGTGGCTCCCACTTTCTTCGTATTTCCTCGATCAAGATCATACTCACGACATCTTTAAATTTCAATTTGGACTTTTCGACAGAGCTACTAATTGTTGTAATTGTGCCATTCCAACTCTCAGGCAGCTGTCCGAGAATCAACAAAGCTCGGACCTCATCACTGAACGTGATTTCGACTGTGTTTAACTGGTCCGTCACTTCATTGAACACATTTAGATGTTCTTCAAATCTTTCGCCTTCCACCATTTTCATAGTAAATAGCTTTTTGATTAAATGGACTTTGTTTGCTGCAAATGGTTGTTCATACATGCTAGACAGGGCCACCATGAGAGATGCCATCGTCTTCTCATTTTTTATGTTAAAAGCGACTGATTTTGATAATGTCAGCCTTATTGCGCCAAGAGCTTTTTGATCGAGTAATTCCCACTCATCGTCGTTCATGTCTTCCGGCTTTATGTGAAGTGGTTTATACAGGTCCTTCTGGTACAAATAGTCCTCCATTTGCATCTTCCAAAATCCAAAGCTTGTACCATCAAACTTGTCGATTTTGAATATCTTCTCATCTGTTGCCATTCCTTCCACTCAAATTATGGAGCTCTAATACCAGTTGTTAGGAATTAGACCATTACTAATTCCCCCAGGATCAATGGGACGCAAAATAATTTGAACCGAGAAGAAATAAATGTAGCAAAAATAATAAGTGCAAGTAAGACAAGAATTTACGTGGTTCGGCAATCGTGCCTACGTCCACAAACTCACACCAATTCTTTTACTATATCAACAAGAGAAGAAAATGAATACAACAAATACACTCTCTGTATTTTATTTGCCTATGCAAAGAAAATCTCTCAATTTTTCTCTCGTTAATTTTATGCACAAACTGAAGCCTAACTGCTTCTCACTTTTGTGCTTTGCTCACTGTCTCTCGTGTTTTCACTCAACACTTTTCTTGCCACTCAACACTTTTCTTGCACTTCTCTTTTCACTCATATCATTTGCTCCTGCTTTGGCCTCATATTTATAGTAAAATTCCCACCTTCCTCATTAAATGCATGTCCATCAATTTTTCAACAAAGTTGTCTTGCATTAAATGTATGGCAAAAATTTCTTCCAAAAATACGGTTGTTGTTAGCAAGAGTTTCCATACACATTCATTTTTTCAACATTTGCTGCAACTTTTGAAAAACTGTGTCTGACACACATGAAAGAAATTGTGAAGCCTAAAATGTACGCTCCAAAATTTCAACATTCTACTCATCTACTCT